ATGTTCATAACATGGGTGAAAATTATAATATTTATGCTAATTACTCATGGACAGATGGAGATTGATACTACCACCATACTAATATAAAATATATTTACTTTTCAATAGTAGACTCTGCACCTTCATAAGATAATTAATAAATTTGTTGTTTGTTTCGAATCTATGTATAGTAATAATTCCATATATGTAATTGGTACGTTCCAGACCACCACGGCTGTTAATGACCTATATACATTTTGAGTTTTCTAGGCACTCGAATATGCTTCTTAACATAGTAAGATAATAATATCAGCAATTTTTTTTGCAACTACTTTTAGGATTCATGGTATATTATGCCAGCCGGAAAATATATTTGAAATTGTACACGGCGTCTAGAGGGCGATATGTCCAAAAAAGCTAAAATTATTCCCATCGTATTATTTTCAACAATAGGTTTTATTCTGCGTGATAATTAGTTGTTCCTTGTTAATGGCTACTCTTGCACTTGTGGTGAAATGTTCTCTTTCAGTGGGAAACGTTTAATGGCCACGCACCAGATACCTCGGCACACATAAGCTGTTCAGGATACCGGTGTTCGTGGCCGGAATAGATTTATGTGTTGGTCATGCGGATGTGTTCACTTGTTCGGAATACTAACCTTATCTAATCTTACCGAGCGTAACAGAATCAGGTTTTATAAACAACGAAAGCGCAGAATTAGCAAGCTGAATTAAAAGTTCATAAAGTTTAAATGTAAATGAAACTGAAATACAAATTTGATTAGTAAAATTTCTTTCCTCATTATTAGGCTTCCATTTTTTATTCGATTGTAATGTTTTAGCGATTTTTAACATTGAATGCAGTTGTCAGTATGCCACGCCACACCCTCTCCGCCCATTCGCTTCAATTCATATATTTGTGGGTTATGTGGAAAAGTCTAAAATTCCAAAACTACTGGCTTGGTCCACGGCCTACCTTTCGCATTGCACCCGCGTTTAATCCCAAAGCGATTGCGGTGTTACACATTCATAAGCATGGATCAACAATGCGACATGTGGGTCCCGGCATTCCGCACTTTAACCTCAAAGCAGTCCAATTACGCCGCTTGTCGACGCTTTGGAAATGGCGGCGTGTGTGTGATAATCAAATTTTCCGGCATGCCCTGCTAATTATTGTGCAAAATGGCGCGCATAATGAGTGCCACCCATATAGCCTGTGACTTTTGTCGATGCGCAATTATATACCAGGGCTGGCAGAGCAGCTTATAGTATGAAAAGGGCGAATAAACAGAATACAAGATAAATATAACAGAAAGATCTTTCAGCGTTTATGTGAAGTACGAATTGCACGATTACATACCATGCCATACTAATTTAAGTGATTTCAGATTGAATCAAATTTAATTACGCCATTAAAATGAAATCTGTGTGACTCATTTCGTTCTTCTGTTAATATAGATATTTGTAAATATCTTCTGTTAATATAGATATTCGTAAATATCTATATTAACAAATAAAGGATATTTACAAAAGTGCATTTTATTTATTTATATTTTGAGGCTGTATTCAGCTCATTTTTACATTAAACATCAAAGACAGAAAAGGCCAATACAATGTTTCCTTATAGCTTGTTTTGAATTACGTGGAATGCTGTGTCAGCTTTGTTCGTCCTGTCTATATGTTCTTCTTGCTCCGCTACAAATACAGTGTGATGGAGCTTGCAGTCTTATTTTCTTGCTTATACAGCCATATATGTAAATAATGCCAATAATAATAATTAATAGTACTACAAAAAAACAGAAGTAGATAGAAAATAATTAAATAACGATTGCAAATAGTTTTCTTGATTTTCCATCGATTGTTCATTTTAGATGATGTTTCCTCATTACCTTTTAGAATTCCAGAGGAATTCAGCTTTAATATAATTGCATGATTTAAAGAATATATAAGTATGTAGAGTATATGTATGAATGTACGGCTGTGCGCAACAGGCATCAACGACTCTGCATTTTAAGTTTAAGGAAAAGTTTGCAATTGATTTTCAATTAAACTGGAAAAACTTTCATTCGTTTGGGTACTTGGGGTAAAAAATCGTAGATCATATTTCTTTCTAATTTAGTGAGCATGAACTAAATATTATAATGAAAATAATTTGCAATTTAATTGTAAAATTTCATAAACATATGTTTTTGTCTACTCTCATAAGTAGCTTCAAAATTGATTGTTATAGAATCTTCAAAGTCCCATCTATGTAGCGGAACATCATTTTGAAACTCACTAAGATGTAAAACATTTTTAAAACATATCTTACAATATGTTACTACTCAGATGTTTAGCTTTTGTCTTCAAATTCAATAGTGTTAAAAGCATTTTCACTTATTTTGCCTGTAATATGCAAGAGCACTACCAATTATATTAATCGTTCTAAGCCACTGTGCTATGGTTGATTTCGTCAAAAACGGCACTAAAAGTTGTTTCCTGCGAATTAAAAGTTGCAGTCAGTCAAAAGGCAATTGCTAGGCAAATGAAAATGGTTAATACAATTGGCTGGGAGTATATTGTATGTGGGGAATGACACTGTTCGGAAAGTTCTTGGACACATCACTGTTGGACTTCAACTTCAAAAAATGTTATGGCGAAGTTTGTTGCTTGGGACATGGAATGAACCATACGTACTTCCATTTCAAGTACCGGTATGCGTGCATATGTGTGGGGTCTCTGAAATACTGTGAAGCTTGAAATTTAATTAAATTAAAACCAACGAATGGCACAAATTGTCGTGGGAACGCAAAAGGGTTGGGCAGGCGGTAAGCAGAGGGTAAGGATTGGACAGCCTTCGACATGTTTTTCATACATATGTTAACGGTATATGTATGTATGTTTCATATGTATGTATGAATGAGTATGTACACTCACAATATAACTGGATACGAACGACCAGAAGAAAGTGAATCAAGGAAATGAAAAGGCCCTCACATTATTGACCGAATAGTCCCTGATCTATTTTACGTAATGTACGAGAATATTTACAAGGTCTTCTCATAAGAAAGAAACCTTTTCTATTTTGCGGACTTTCAATGTGTATCTGTGGGTGTGTGTTGATTTAGCATAGATGAGTGATTTTTGATTTTATTAGTTTGATCTTCCCACGTTGCAAGCCCTGCTTCTATTCTTTTCCTTTTATAGGGAAACGACTAACACATTGATTATATAAGTACATTTTAGGTACCATAAATCATGGCAGACAGTGGGCCAGACAGTATTTCAGTATGGCATTCAAACTCAGGCACTTTTTATTCAAATTCCTTAAAAAAAAAAGAAAAGAAAAGATGCTGTCAGCCAGACTTCTCTATTTTCATTCGATTGCTGCTATTGGACCAACATAAATGAACGAAATGCGCTTTGGGCAATGTCCCAGACAGCAGGACAACAGCAAAATGGACGATGGATAAGGATAATGCTATGGTTGACGGAAGGAACATCCCTGTGGAGTCGCCAGACAGCTCTTGCTGTCAAAGGCCGTGAGGGGCGAGTTCGTTTTCCACATAAAAGTCATAAACTTGCGCTTCATAAAGATACACTCACACACAGATCAACAGCAAGAAAAGCTTACACAATGAAGATGGCGACATCCAAAACAAGAGAGAACGCTACAGTCGAGCAAGCCCGACAGTATAATACCCTGTACCCAGGTAAACTTCCGTCACTGAGTTATATGCAGCAAAATAGGAAGAAGAAGAGCGAACTTGTTGCTGCAGTTGTACTGGGCAGAATTTGTTTCGCTAATAATATTTCTTAGAATTGACCGAATTGAATAAAATAAAATAAAAACAACAGTAGACAATTATATATAAATTATGTGTGCAAAGTTTGGTTTAGGTAGCATTTGAAATGTGGACGCTATTGACGAAATTCTGTAGTGGGGGAAGGGGGGGAAAATTAAAAAAAATAAAATAAACTCGTCCTTTCTCGGACCTAGGAGAATCTGGATGCCAACTTTGGTTATTCTAGCTTTTATAGTTTCTAAGATCCTCGCGTTCATCCAGACGGACAGACGGACGGACAGACGGACGGACATGTCTAGATCGATTTCTCTCGTCATGCTGATTCAGAATATATATACTTTATGGGGTCGGAGATGCTTCCTTCTGCATGTTACATACTTTGCACAAACCTAATATACCCTTTTTACCCTACGGGTACAGGGTATAAAAACTAAATGCAGAAGCATCCCCGGCGCCCCTTTAATTGTGGGCCCGCTTGCATTTTGTTTCCGCCTTCTTCTTTTCTTTACTTTATGATTAATTTCTTATCTTATTTACCTCAAAATATACTTTCTTAATGGAGATTATGAAAAAATTATTTTGGTTGATGGGCACAAGGAAGGAAATAAACATTTCTTTGAATAGATCGTCGTACAATAATGCCTTGATAGGTTTCCACTGTGAGAAAGACATTTTTTTCTGGCACTAACGCAAAAACAGTCATAAAAAGAATAACTTAGCTCGCATAAAAATAGGACTATTTTCATATCAGAAAGCTAAGAAGCTGTTATCGTATCTGAGGCAACCTTTTAGCACCAACCTAAATGAACTGAATGAAATAAACTTTGAATCAACAAATGCCAATTATTTGTTCAAAATTAAGATATTTATCAAATTTAAATACATTTTTTACTTGATAATTCTTAAAATTGAATTCTAGGTGTATTCGTTGCCCTCGAACACCACATAAGTGTTAAATTGTTTTGGTTTAGCGGCACGCCATTGCGCAGACTCCGCAAACGTCACGATGCCTTCTGCTGCTGTTGTTGTTGTTGCTGCTGTCGCACCAACAGTTGCCTGTTTCAGCCGAATCTTCAGTTATAATGCAGCTTTCGGGTGCGGCGCAATGCAATGAACGGCTACGGAGTGCGCAAAGTTCTCCTAATGGACTCGTGAAACAAAAGTCGTAAACGCGGACGTCAACGAAAACGCGAGGTGTACAACAAAAACTGAGCTATTCAATCAAAATTATTTATTTCTGTGTCACTAGTGAAGTGAAATGTGTGTGCAAAAGTAAAAAAAATCGATGCTAATTAATAAATAAAGGTAATAAATAAATAATGTAGTAACCAGAAAAGTTCCCAATCCAATAGAAAGGTATGAAGTGAAAAAAAATGATTACAACAATCATATTTAAATGCGATAATGTTCGCCAATGTCCATGCTTGCGCCCTTTTTGTAGAAAGCTGCAAGAACCGTTTTGGAAAGGAAAATAAGTGTCCTGAAGAGATATTGCTGATCTTAGCTGTTGAGGTGGGCATAGTATAGCATTTTAATTTCGTACTCAAAAATTGCATTCAACTTTCATACTTCATGTATTGCCCAGTTTTTAATTTAACTCTCAATATACGAAATCTGAAATGCTTGAAGCCCGTTTTTGGATTCCGCATTGGAAAATGGAAAGTGTGTACAGGAGCGGCTCTTTCGTTGTTATTGAAATACTTCGCGTGCTTTGTAGATCCAGTAAATGCTTGAACCTTTCTGCTCCCTTTATTTTTGTTGTTGTTGTTGCCAAGGTCAAATCCCCGCAATAAACGACAGAGCCAGCAGCGAAAATGTAGGCGTAGTATTAAACGGCTCTGAACCCACAACTGTGTGCATGTAAATAAACTTTAACCTTCTTCGTCGGCAACAAATGCTTTTTGTCGATGCGTGAAGGCTGGTGTGGCTTACGGGGCACAATTAGTAATATTTTAATAAATTTAAAAAGCCAGAGTTGTGCCTTTCAGATGCGAGTATACTAACGGTTTTGAAAACCTACAAGTACATACACGCATACTCGATTATTTGGCTGTTTGGGTTGGTTTGGGTGTATGAGTATTTGCAATTAAATGTTAAGGATACGTCACTTTGAAAGCCGCGTTCTCATCATCCGCCATCAAAAATCGACACTCAACAGCCTCTTCACGCGCATCAGAGAACGACAAGTGCTAACGATTAAAGCATTCCCATTAATTATATGTTTTCATCGCTAAAGGCAACAGACAAGCGAGTTTATTTATATCGGCTGTCTTAAAATTTATTTGCCACCTTCTTGTTTTATTACAGCAAAAAATGCATCTGCCAACAGCAAATTATAAAAATAGCACTGTAACTTTTATACTATACATTAAATTATAATTTTCATTGCAATAAACATTGCACAATTCATTACCCATACTGGTATGGAACTTTTAGCATCCTACCCGTTGTGGATATAAGAACATTTTCTTGTAGTTCATGTTTATGTATGTACAAGAAAATGCCGACAGAAAATCATTTTGCGAGCTATTGAAAGTAAATCAATATGCAAATCTGAACAATTCTCACAAATACACACCCACGTACAAATAACGACAGATAATGGGAAGTGTCTGTCATCGATTTGAGCCACCAGTCCGCCAAACCTTTAGTTATTCACACACATATATATTGTTATGAGTCTGTCCGGCTGATGCCCTTCATCTGCAACATTTTGGCATATACTAGTTTAATTATATTCCGATTCTACTGAGCGGATCGCACTTACGCTTTTATGATGTTTGCATTTCATTGACGCTGCATGGTTTCTGGTATGACAGGGTGAAAGCAAAACAATGGAAGCGTGGGTGCACTAATGATAAACAAAATGGGAAAACAATAATAAAAAAAGAATAACTACAGATGGGCCACATTACCAGGCGAGAGAGTCGTACAAATGAATTGACAGTGGAGGGCACACATACAGAAACATATGGACGAGCATATGCGTAAGGTAAATTACTCACACATACACCTGGAGAAATATACAAGTAGTAGGTACAATCGAATTACGATAATTTTGGAATTGTATCTTACACAAACATAACACTCATAAATACTATCAATCTATCAAGAAATTAGAAATATTGATTTCGAAAAATTGCTCCTTATTTGAGCCTCGATTCGGTGCTGAAAGTGAAATATGACCCATAATCAGTATCAACACTATAGAGATTAATTGACACCACAATTTTAAAAAAATAAATAAAAAAGCTGGTCTACTAAATAAATAAGTGTGTAAAAACCGTTATCATCAATGAGTTATCAGAAGAAAAATCTTAGCACTGCCGTAAGATTTATTATAATATGTGAGACAAATTTTCTTTAGTGCAGGAAGGCGGTCGGGTTTATGGCGCCACAATGAAATGTTGGCCCATAAAAGGGCCAAGGCAGCTGCCACAGACGGACATGTTGGCGCAAATGTCATGTTGGTTAGTGTTGCCCAAAAAAATTAAATAAACAGAAATAACAATGACAAGCTGGCGCATATTGTGAGCCACTTTACGAATGCGCCACGTATGCCTCTCATTACATATACGCGGTATATGCCGTGTATTATTTGTGCAAGTATGTGTGGCTGTAAGCATGCGTATGTATGTGTGCATGTGTGTGTGTCGTGTCAGAAAAATTACCAGCCGTCACGTAGAAAACCAAATTCAGAGTTGTCGTTTTTAGTGTGTCTGCGTGCGTGCACGTGCTCGTGTGTGCAAGTCGTAGTGTGCGTGTTCGTTTGTGTGTGTGTATGTGTGTTTGTGTGTGTGCGTGCGTACAGCTTATCAAACAACCATCATTATAATCGTGGAGGCAACTCGCTGGCACTAAAGTTGCGCCCATTGCCACGCAAACACATGGCCTGCAATGCTGCTAGCCTTCAAGCCCAAATATGCCACCCTAGGATAATTACACACACATTTGTCTCAAATAAAAAAGCATTCGACTGGAATGTGTAACAAAAAGCAGGTGAAGCCAGCAGGAGTATTTAGAACGTGGCTCTAATATTGTTGCTGACCAGCTTGCTGCTGCTTTCCTTGCACTTATTTTCACTGAATTTTCATATCTAATACAGTTTTCTTTGCAAGGTGAAAAATACAGAAAGTGTTGCAGTAATTTTGTTTTTGAATGCCCATTTCTGAAGGCGCTTGTGCTATTTTTTTAAATGAAACAGAACGTTATTAATGAAGAAAACTCATTCAATCCAATAATATTCCACTATCAAGGAATGCTCACGTACACTCTTGATATTGTTTACTCTTCTGTCTTAGCATTTTGCCCTACACACTCTGTCCAAATAGCAATCGTTCACTGCCATGATACGCAATGTGGGCACAGGTGGCAACAAAAACATGATTGATACCTTGCGTGATGAATCAAATGATAAGCGCTGATACGCCAACTTAATTCTGATAAACTATATATACACATATATGCCTACAATGGCTGCTGAGCTTCACACAAGCCGCACAAAGCGCACACAAGGCGAATCATTTATTTTTTGACAATTTGTCAACATTTTTTAATTTACAAAACAAAATATTTTTGTGGGAAATTGTGTTTTTTCATGCGTATATATGGATTCACATATGGATATGTATAGTAATGAATAAACATATGCCTATGCTCTCGACCGTTTGACATGCCAACAAACACGTGTAGATATTGGCATTGGCAACCAAATAATGTCAAGTCTGCCAAGGAGTTGAAGCTTTTCAGACCAGACATGACGACTTCATTCGCCAGCAATATACTTGTAGTGACGACATTGTGTGACATTGTTAAGGGGGCGTCGTATCCATTTTGCACTTTATTTGTTTTTGTGAATGCAAGAAAAGTTTACACTCTTTTCATTAAAAGTGGCAAAGTCATAGTCATAGCTGTTTCCCAGGCAGCTGTTTTATTGAATTTTATAAGTCTCTGAATAACGTTGTCGAAATTTTCCCGAGGTTTTATAATGCAATAATGATATTAATTAACAAAAGTTCGATATATTTTTTGTTCTCTAAAGGAAACCCAAAAAACGATTTCTAATAATTTAACAATGAAAAGATTTCTATGCATGCCCATTGAAGAATATTCCATTTAATTTCATATTTAATCTTTAGAGATGCTTCACTGTATGGTCACGAAAATTGTATGCTCAGGAGTTGGTGGCCGGTAAGGAATCACCATCTTCCGTCTCTTTAACACTCATGGTGTAGTATCTTTGATGACTGTCGCTATCTCATTGAGTCCCTTTGGCACTCGAGCATTTCAAATGTTCTTCTAGGAACATTGGACAGCTCGTCTCCTTTTGTCTTTGTTTCCCACTTCCGCTCACTCAGACAGTTGTATTTCAATTGTAAAATGTCCGTTATTGGCTGCCAGCTGTTGAAGTAACTGCAAAGCCAACACACAGATACACAAGCAACCAAACAGTAAATAGACAGAGCGACGGACAACAAATAAACAGACCCATCAATCCGTGGCTGAGTCTATTGGCAAACATGCGAATGACTGACACTTGCCTGTGGCACATGGGTAAATAGATGGCAAGTGTATTTTTTGACTGTGCCAACATAGTGTACGGCAATTTAATATACTTGTATACTTGTACTGTATGTGTGTAAACAAAAATGCACAACATAATCTGACAATACCGACAATTGACGTGAATATGGTTTAGCTATATGGTTAGCACTGATTAAGATCTAACTAAGCTCGTAACGTAAAAAATATATTTATACCCTAACCCAATTGGGTACACTAGTTTTCTGCGAATATGCTCCAAAAGTATATGTATTTTCGATCAGTATGACAAGACGAGTCGAGATAGCCATGTCCGTCCGTCTGTCCGTATGAACGCAAGGATCTCTGAAAGTATAAGAGAATATACAAGCTTGGTATCCAGATTCTTCTATGTCCGAGAAAGTACGAGTTGAGTTTTATCCATTCCATAAAATTTCCCATTATACATCATATATGTATGGACATACTTGAGTTCGAATATAAAATCGATGTAAAATCGAAGACACATTTTAAATAATCAAATAAGTTTTGATATCGCTTTCTAAAAAAGTACAAAATGTAGTTAAATAAGTGTAATAATAAGAATTTCGCATACTAATTCTTGGGGATTGAACTTCAAGCTAGTATTTTGGCTCTTAGCCAGCAACTTTAAGACATATTATGATAAGAGAAATTATCGATTTGGACGCATATCTATCGTACAATTGAGACAACAACTGATTGATTGTGTGCAATATTAGTAAAGAGTATCTCCTGAATGTACA